ACTCTGGGGGCTGGTAGGCTAAGGGAAAGCAAATGCATCTACAGAGCCTTTGTCACGCGTGATGCTGGCAGATACACCTGCAGTTCTGTGTTTCTGCCATTCTCATCCCTTTCAGAATGGGAGGGGCAGGGAGGGCAAGAAAGACCAACTTTGTCAAGCCAGCTGAAACCTGTCACATTCATAGAAAATGCATTTTGGGGGCAAAAAATAAATAAATGCTATCCCACACTCACACTGCCTTCAGATTCTTACTCATTTCAGTATCCAGCTACCCGAATTCCACTTGCGTCAAATAGCAGCAGAGAAAAGGGAGTGGGGGGAAAAGGAAATGAGGAGCCATCTACAGACTTAGAAACCATTACAGGGCAAATATGGATATAAACTAATAACAGAGAATGGGACATGATCACACCATATGGGATCAACCCAACTGATCCCAAAGGACTCATTTTAGATAAATGTGCAATCCGTGTGAGAATCTATCTCTAGGCTTGCTTACGACACACTGCCTCAGTTTCCAATTGGTAAAGGAATCATTACAGTGATTAAAAAACATTCATCAGTCCTACACTTGCTGGGGTGCTGGCAGAAGCCTCTACATGCCATGTGCTGGGAGAGCTTCAGAAGTGGGTTGCTCTACCTAGAATCACCGTATTTTCCACTTGAAGTCTATATTTTGTACAAATGTACCAGCACATTTGAAAACAAAATAATTTGTACTTGCTGTTAACTTATGTAAAAAATCCTGCTTCATTTGCCTGACATTAAGAAAACAGAGGAAAATAAATTGTCCAAGCAGACCTGGTACTGAGATGATAACAACCCTGGAGAGATTACTGTTAGCTGGCTATGCCATCTGCTTAGTGGATGCAGAATCCAAGGACTGCTGTAGTCTATGCAAAGACCAGCTTTAAGACTGATGCAAAGTCAAGGAATGCTAATTGAGTTAAACTGATTGAAAGCTAGATAATGACAGACAGTGCAAGAACAACAATGACTGGCAGTGGGTCATTCACAGCCTTTCTCTCAAATATCATTAATCTGTATCATTTCTTGTGGCATCTGAAGGCACAAGAAAAACTAAAATTTGTAGGTTTTTTCTCCCCATATGGAACTAAAAGAGGGAAAGAAGGTCTAAAAACTATGCTCTTGTAAAAAACATTTAAGTACCAGAGTCAGATATGTCTGACCCCCTTTACTCAGTGTGCAAGCAAATGAGCCACAAACTGAGATCAGATGATCAATATTCTACCTATTTCAGCAGATCTCTTAAAAACTTAGTGTAGTATTTCTGACCACATGGATAGAAAGGTCACTGTTTAAGAGACCTCGTCTTTACCACTGCTGACCTGACAGGTCTCATACATGCTGTTACAAGTCCCAGATAGGCCTACTAATCTTGATGGCCTCGAGTACCCAGAACTGAATTTTCTCTGTAAGTTTCCACTTACACTTGTCCAACTCCAGCACAGCTACCATCAATTTAGATCACTGCAGAAGAGTACCAAAATCAGAAAGAACACTTTCAGTGCCTAGTTTCCTTGAGCAAGAAATGTTATGTTTTCTTAATTTTTTCCCCATTTCAAAATAAACAGAAATACAGACACACAACATGTACCTTTTAACTGAGTAGTTATTAAAGACAGCATTCTGTAAGACCACACCTAATTCTACTGCGGAGTAGTGAACCCTACTTTGACCATGTGTTTCAATAAGTTCAACCTGAGATCTGTTGGCACTGCATGTTGCATTTCTGCAGCTTCAGCTAACACACATGACCAGATAGATCTAAGTGCAAGGTTTGAAAGTCCCATAATCAGGTAATAAGTGCTAATGAGCTGGGATAATAAATGCACTGATTCTGTGGGAGGATGAAGAGGCTGTATTCAGAAACAGAAACACAATCATTCTGAGCATAACTTTCACAATGGGAGTTAAAAGTGGCCACTTCTCCAGGAGGTTTTTTTAATATGTTACATCTTTCTGGCCTTACAAGAAAAGTCAATCAAGAAAGATATAAATAAGAGGGAGGGGACCACAATGTGCAAAATGATAAAAGGAAAAATTTCTGACGTAAACACCACCACACCAGGTGGACAATCAGTAACCAGAAATGCTCCTGCAGTGTTTTTCCGCAGCTGTGAACTAGCCCTGAACTGCTAGGTCAAAAGGGTCAGGAAAAACACAAGTTCATTTCTCTTTCCATATTTTCACTATTTCCTTCTCTCTCCAACTTTAAATCAGAAAAAAAAAAATAAAAAAGGGGAGGGAAAAGAAGAATGAATTCAACAATGGAAAGTCCAGACTTACCGAAGCTACTAATGTTTCCAGATCACAGAATATGCTGCTAAAGGGCAACTAATTTGTTATATAGCAGGCAAGGCTTTGTGTCTCCTTGTCTGCCTGATAAATGTAGACATTTCTGTTCCCCCAGACATCATATGCACCATATTTCCAGTGTTATGTACATGGCCATTTATTAATTTTCTAGTAATTAGTATCCTGGGGACAAATCCTATTGCCACTCTATTTACCTAATGCAATAAAATATTGCGGAAAGCAAAGTGGGAAGAATTTCTTCTGTTTTATTAGCATTTGCTAATTTTGATCTTTCTAATGATGTGTACTGACCCCTAGCCCTTAGCTGTTTTTCAAAGCAGATTCTTTAGCAATTTTTTGTTTGATTAAAAACAATTACCAAAGAGGAAATTGGAATCAAATACCTCAGCAGTGGGGAAGCTTTTGACTTAGGACTTTTACTGTACAGGAACTAAGTGAGAGGAGTATAATTTTTAAGAGCTGCCTAATTCAGAAGCAAGAAAAAAACCCAACAGATTAATGACAGGCTAAATATTAGAAAGAAAACTAAGCTGCATTCTTCCTCCCAGAAGCATACTCCTTTGCACACTGAAAATCCTGTTCCTGGTTCTGTTCTTGCTTGCAAAACCTGTCAGAAACAAGGCTGTTGCAGCCATGGTAAATGTACGGGTACAGGCATCTGAATGAGGTTCCTTTGGCCAAACTGTTCAAATGGACAAAGGCACAGAAGCAGCGCTTTCCTATTTGCTCTTTGGCTTTCAGATACAAGGACCTCAGCTTCTGACATCAGGCTCCCTCAAGCTTCCCATTTGGGGAATTTGGTAACTTCTTTTGGAAAGTTTACTGGCTATCCAGGAGCTCAGTAATCCTTACAAGCAATGACACTTTTATGCAGCCATTTAAATATACTTCAGGATACTACTTACAGGCACATAACATTGAACATTGTTCCCCATATATAAGCTTTCTTAGCCCAAAACTGAGGAAAAGAGCACAGCTTCCCTGAGCTCCAGCATGCAGAGATGATTTATTTAAGAAGGTGATGAATTTTCATACTGGATGCAATTACTGAGGTCCATGCACACACACAGATACCTTCACATGCAAACCTAACAAGGTTCCTAGGGAACTTGTAGCTGTTACAGATTCACAGGCTCCTTCACTCAGCTCCTGGGAAAGCACTTACAGCTGATTCCATGCTAATTCATTGCTCAATTAATAAGTAAAATCTGTACAGTATAATAAAATCATTGATCATTATGCTTTAAAAATATTGACTCCTAAATATTTAGGAAGCAGTGTGTACTCAATAGAAATGTTTATTGGCACTGGGAAATTAAACTGTCACCCATGAAATAGTAAAACTCATTAATGCAGAGTTTCTTTTTAAGCATTAGGAATTAACTTTATGACTGCATCAGTAATGATAAGCCTCAGCTTTAAATCGCCTGCCATTTAGTATACGTGAACATTATTAAAACATATTAACCGTGATTTAATTGACTGAAAATTAAGAAAAGGTGAAGAAAAAAAAAGAAGGCTATAGAGAAAGGTTCAACGCCAGCTCCTTTGGCACCGCTTCCCAGCGGGAACGAGGGGGCAGCCGGCCGCGGGGCAGCCGGCCGCGGGGCAGCCGGCCGCGGGGCAGCCGGCCGCGGGGCAGCCGGCCGCGGGGCAGCCGGCCGCGGGGCAGCCGGCCGCGGGGCAGCCGGCCGCGGGGCAGCCGGCAGAGCAACAGCGCCCTCTAGCGTCCACAGCGCCCTGGTGGGGCCCTTGCCCGCCCAGCGCCGCCCGACGGGCCGCATCCGCGAGGGAGGCCGCGCACGGCGGGGCTCGGCTCTGCTCTGCTGCCTCCAGTATTCTCTGCTTTCTCGGGGGTGGGCAGGGCATGGAGCCTCCGGGCTACAAGGCCCACCAGTGCAGAAGGTGGCCGACTGCACAGAGCTTGCCGAAGCTCCCGGAGAGCCCCCGCTGGTGCCCGCCCCCAAGGCATGGCAAAACCCAGTGGCAGGGAAGGCTCCTGCCTGCGGGGACAGACTCCGCTGGCACCACCCATAGTGCCAGCAACAATACTCAGGAAACTTACGAAGGGATTCCCGAAGAAGAGGGAGCGAACAGGTATTTTCCAGCTGGGCTGCTGTGGGGGAAGCGGGGACAAAGAGCACGCCCCACGACCGCGCCACGCCCGTGGGAACCGACGGCACTGGCTGGGACAAGGGAGGATTCCCAGTGCCGCCAGCGCAACTCCGCCGGGTTGGAGCATGGCTGCACCCGAAAAATCCCGCACCCCCGACCCATGCGGAAAGGACCGACCCCTGCCAGCCCGGCGAGCAGAGCCGCGCAGCTCCGGCCCTGTCCCAGAGCCAGCACCAGTGGACGCAGAACAAGGCGGCCGGAGGAAGGGCGGAAAACTGTGAGGGAGAGGAAACCGGTAAACGGCTTGTTGCAGGCTCCAGCAGCTCCCGCTCACGTCCGCATCCGCACCGGGAGGACGGTGGCGAGCAATCTGTTAATCTGGCCGCAACTGTGCATTTCTAAGCTCCATCAGCAAACCGGAGCAGCGCTAACTTTCTTAGAGGTCACGCTGCAATAACCCCCATTTCCAGGGACTTTTTTCCCATCTCTCCCTGACACCACCCTCCCCCCAGCCCCAGACAACCCCTTGCGCTCCTTTTACTCACAGTTTGGTGCAGTTAATCCCAGATGCCAAAAACTGAAGAGCAGCAGAGTGAAGCCCCCGAGGACTTCGGAATCCATGTTCAGCCCCGGAGGAAAAAGCTAGCCGCCCGCCTGTCTCCTCCGGTCCCGGACTCCGAGAGCCTCCCAGCTTGTGTGCGCTCCCTTTTCCTCCTCTCATTTACACCATTCAGCATCCAGGCAGGCAGGCAGTCCTGGCTAAGGGGGAAGTGGGGCCAGGATCGGCCGAGGGACTCTCATCCGCGGTTCTCAGAGGAGCCGCTCCAAGCGCCGACAGCAGCTCCCGAGCCGAGGCGGCTCCCCCGGCTGCTGCCGCTGCGATTCACCTTGCGAGCTCCGGCCGGGAAACAGCAGCCGGGCGCTGGGCACCTCCTTATAGGCGAGAGCCTCTCTGCTCTCCACCTCCGCCCAGCCCCCTGGAAGTCACTCCTCCTCGCCTCCCAGGGAGGATCTTTATTGCAATCTTCACGCGTTGTTGATAAGCATCAGAGTCACGGAGTAAATCAGATGCCAAGAGGGAAAAATAATAAAAAAAAAAGGCAAATAAAATGAAATCTTCGTCTTCTTTTTTTTCTCCTTCTTCCCCTCACCCCCCTTTCCCCTTCTTTAGGTACTGCTGTGGATGAAACATTTTAAAGAGCACCCAGCTCAGTTGTTTGTTTGCTTTTGAATACATACGTTACATACTTACATACACATAATTAAAATATACACCTATATCACGGCACATATAGTGCCGGCACAGCCCGACCGGCTGCAGTCCTGGTCCCGGAGCTCAGCCTCATCCCCAGGCAGTAGGCATGGTGCCTCCGACGGGGCAGACGCTTGATCCCCTCTCCTCCCGCGGGGGGTCCAGAGCCTCCTCGCCGAGCCCTCCCAGCACGCAAACGGAAGCGGCTCCAGGGCTGTGGACCGGACCAGACCCGCACCCTGTGGCTGCATTCCGCTCCCGGCTGGAGAGGGCGATGTTTGGCAAATCCGGATTTCATGACGGATTGATTAGCCGACTGCTCAGCGGCTGAGCAGGCTGTGATAGTCTTCCAGAATGCCAGTACAGAGAAGCAGAGTTTGAGAAACAGCCTTCTGGAGAGTTCCCTGAGTTGACACCTTGGGCCATGCCTGGCTGCCTCCTGCGCACCTGCACACACGGAGGGTACATGTCCTCTCAGGAGCTCTAGCTTAATCACTGCTGAGATCTCACCTTGTTGCTTTAATGCGGCATCTCCCAGCATCAATAGAGTGCTGCATCAAAGGTCAAAATTGCATTAGTGATTCCTCTGTAGTCTGCAAGGAGAGTGTGTTTGGACCATTGAAGTCTTTGGGGGGTAGGGGGAAAGTGGCTGGTCCTCAGCCATAATCCCTTACAATTGTGAGGAGTAATCAAAAGAAACAGACTGTTCACCAAAGCCATCCTAATTTGCCAATGGAGAGTGGAAGTTTAAATTGCCAGCATGTAGTAAGCCTTATATTAAAAAGTAAGGAGGGTGGAAGAAAGACATTATGCTTAGCTATTACATACTGTATCAAAGAGAGGTGTCGGGGGACATCTTAGCTTTAAAGGGACACTCAGCCTGGAAAGCAAAAATCCATGTTTAAAAAATGACCTTATTATTTCACCTTCTGTTGTTACAAGTGACACAAGTGACACAAGGTTAACAGGGAGGAAGGCTGCCTAGCACTGAGGCTTTCAGTCAGAGTCAATAGGGGATTTAGCCAGACAAAACTAAGACTTAGGAGGAACTTAAAAGCCTAATGAGCTCTCCAAATCTGTTGCTTTTGCCTTTAAATACCATGCACACCAAGGCTGCACACACCAAGGTTTCATCTTTGCTCATGAAAGACCTGACCCAGTTGCTCTGTGCTTCACTTACATGTGAGCCCAGTGAGACTTTTGGAAACTAGGGGTAAGAGTCAGTCCAAGGATAATGCATCTACATGAGGTATCTGCTTTCTCCTCCAAAGGCCCTGAGAAAGGTGTTCAAATAATCACCCAGGAGATGTTAGTGTAAGGGCACAGACACTTTCTCTATGCAGGCCTGTTTTTGAAGGGAGTGAGGTGTGCTCATTTCCCTCAGTGGGTGAGGGAAACCTTCAAGTTTTCTGATCCTAGTCAGAAACAGCTCATCTTCCCCATACTGATCATATACAAAGCTCTGGCCCAGAAGCTAAGAACTGTATTGCTTTGACACATTAGGCCACGAGGCTGGAGTATTGAGAAAATTATGTTATTAACTTGACTTTTTCAGGTGAATAATCAAGCTTTAGAAGTGCTAGCAGTGCTTCCAGAGCTACCACTTGAGTAAAGCTAAGCAGTAGAATATATCAGAAAGCTTAAAGCTAGAGTGGATTTGCTCTAGAGACACACAAGTCTTTGACACAGTCACAACTTTGCAACTATGTGTTCTGAAATTAGCAGAGGAATTCAGAATAAGGAGATTAAATATGGGATGCTTTTTTTATGCTTTCCTTTTAAAAAAATGATTAAGATTAAATGGACTGTTTCAAATATTTTCAGTGTCTCTTTAAACTATCTGGCACATTGGTTCACTTTGTAACTGACTCACTGAACTAATTAGTGGCTTGTTTATAGGAAAGCAGATGTGGAAATGAGCTATGCAGACTAATTAAAAGCTGTCAGTAAATATGAGCCCAATCCTGCAGTGCATCCCAGTGGTTACCAATATGGATCTGACTGCAGGATCTGGACCCCAAGTACACCACTGGTTTTCAAATCACGCTTGTGAGACCTATCTCTCCCATAAGCTCATTTGTATCATAAATGCCAGGTAGGTGCCTTAAGATTTGTGAATGTTTGGGTGCAGGAGCACTACAACTGAGAAGTTATGACTGGAGTGGAGGGCTACGCAGCTGTTTGTTGCAGGAAATTATGTAAATAATGTCAGGTTTAAGGGGGTTTTGCCAGCAAGATTTTTTTGCCAGCAAGATTTTTATTAGGGTAAATTTATTAATCACTATTAAAGCTGTTCAGACAAAAAGTATGGCTCATCCTCAGACACAGATCTGAGCACCCTGGGTTTTGGGAAAACTCAGTTGTTGATTTAGTTTTAGTGTATCTGGACTTTATTCAAAATGACTGTGATGGTTGCTACTGAAGGCAGTTCAAGCCTTGGCAATGAGTGAAGGTTTTGTTACATGTATAGTGGTAACTCCTTTCTAACTCCTCCTTTCACTGTGGCACGTTTTCTCCTCTTCGATGAAAGCAAAGCTAACCTTAAGAGTGAAGGCCCCGAGATCTTTCTTTTAAATTCTCACCTCTTCTTTGACACATCTTGGTTATACCCTTTTGACACAGTCACTCAATATTCATTCCCTGTTTGTTACACAAGGGGAACACATACTACTTCATCACATACAGATGGCAGGAGAAGAAATATCCTAACTTCTGGCATATGTTCAGAGTCTGCAGTCATGATGATCATGTGAGCACCTTTGTAATTTCAGAAGCAATGTAGATCATGATTAGGTCATCTGGGGCTGTATAGGAAGGGGTCCATTAGTTCTGCGTGAGAAAACCTAACATGGGCATTCAATTCTACTCCTCCCCAGTGGCAGCCAAGTGCCCATATTAATGCTGCTCAGGACACAAGCAATAGATGACCTGCACGATGGGGAGAGGAAGACAGGCAGCATTAGACCAGTAGGTGTTCCTGTCACAGTATTAATGGCTTGACAGTGCAAGCAACAAGTAGCTGAAATTCAGCATTTAGTTTTTTAGCCTCAGTGTCCTATCCAAGTTTGTTCTACCAGTCTGGAGCCTTATTATTTGGGCAGAAGGAACCATTTGTGGGACTTAGATGAGAGAATATGAATAGGAGAGCAACAGAAGGACATGAACACATAAGAAAGAGCAGGAAAAGCTGGATGCCACTAGGGAAATAAGGGTATGTATTTTTGAAGGAGAAAGCTTTTTAATTTAAATCTTCATCTGTGATCAGATAAACTTGTTTTCTTTCCTAGAAACAGTAAACCAATGCAAAAAAGCATTAATACCGCTATAACCCATACTGAGTTTGCCACTAGAAGCAATAATATTTAACCCATGAATACAATCAATCCAGATGTTTGGGTAATTGCAGCTGGAAGCTTTATGACTGACCCCAACCCTATAGCATTCAGGGAAGGAGAATATGTATATTCTTTACACTTATGTATATTAATTTTGAAGAGCACATACTACCATATACTTCACTGTATGTAGGTTTTGGATCACCTGTTGCTGTTTCCTGTTGAGAACCAGGAATTTGGAAAATATCATGTTTCTTATAAAAAAACCTAAAGGTCATGTAAAAAAAAAAGAAACCTAAAGGGTTGTTTTTGTTTTTGTTTTTTTTTTCTTAGAGTTCTCCCCTATAGAAAGAAAGGACTCATTCATTAGAAAGAATATGTGGAAAGCTTTCACAAAACACATTGACCCCAAACAGGTGAGTGCAACAGCAGGCTGCTCATTATCCTTGGATAGTTCCACAGCATACCTAAGTCTGGCAGATAAGAAAATCTAATGATCTGCTGGGATAATCCAATGGCCAGTAGCATTTTTGAAATGCATGCTGAGATTAGGGTGAAAGAAATCAGATGTCAAGCTGTGCAGTGATTATTGGAAGACAAAGAACTACAATCACCTTTTCCTTCCCATTGCTTTTCCCTACATTATTTTACCACTGTCTGCTGGTATTACGGCTTTCATTACATTACCTTGTCTGCCTATGAAGACATTTATGTCAATCATGGGCAGATACAGCTACTGGACTTAAAAGATCAATCACCAGACTAAATAATAGTACCAATGGCTATGGCTACAAACTACCTAAAGACTTCAATAGGCCTTACATCGGATACACTCCTCCCTGGTTAATTCCAGTGACAGGACAAAGAGGTCAGAGAGGGCATGGTCCATAGTCAGCTGTCTGTGATGGTTCCCCACCAAATACAGTGGTCAGCACCAGCTGGGCCAGCCACTGTTGTCTCTGAGCAATACCCTATTCTTACTAAAATGTACTGTCATCCTGGCATATTTCCTGTCCCAGAACCAGCCCTCCGCCATTGTCCAATGGAAGGATGAACTTCATGAGGTGTTGGCATAAATGCAAAACCCATTCCTGTGATCTCATCAACCACAATCAGACCTGAAGAGAGAACTCATACACTAAGAAATGAATTTTCTCTCTCCCCACCCTCCTTTTGAAGCCACATAAATTAGAATGAAGAAACCCATAAAAGGGTCCCTGGACAGTTAGATGGCATAGGATAGATGTAATCCTTGGAGAACAGCTGTCTAATGGGAACATAATGTAATAAGAACTATGAGTCCCAGATGAGGTCAAAGCCCAGAGTCTTTCCTTACAGTACTTAGAAACTTCAAGGCAAACTAGAGGATTAAAAAAAAAAAAAAAATAAATGACAGAAGTTGGGAAGGCATTTTAACACAAAAACTGTGTTTGACAGACATTCCAGTTCAGACCCAAAGTCAGAAGGGAGACAACGTTATCTGTATGAATATGTATTTGCATATGTAAAGAAGGCAGCTTTATTTGTCATTCATTAGTCAGTATCAAGTCTCCATTTTGCAGAGATTCAGTCATTCAGTCACAGAATTATAATATCTGCCATGTCACTGATGTGAGTAATGACAATGGTCACTGGGATAGATTTTTCAGAAGCAATTAGTGATTTTGCATGAACAACCAAGGTATCCCTTAAGGGGCAATTTTTCAGAATGATTTGGGCCTTTACCTGCTGTGTCATGATCTGTCTGTCCAAAAAGGACAGTTAAAAGGAGAGGCATTCAAAATCATTAGTCTCTATCGAACACTTCCATCCCAATGTACCACTAGCCTATAGTCTCATGCTTGAGGAGAGAAACAATCACCTGGGCCTAAATACATAATGAACAACTTTGAATGTCTCCATCATTTTGCAGAGAAAGTTTGCA